CTTGTGCCATCGATCAGTAGTCTTCACCGCCCTCAACCAAGGACGTCCCAATAGCAAATCATAGCTAGCTTCCTTGAATATTTGAAATGAACGCAAAGTTTGTAATCCTCTCACACATACCACAACTTTGTAAATCACACCAAGTGTTATTGCTTTCTGTTTGTTGGTCATAAAGAGTTTGTAATGGATATCGATCATAAATCTTTGGTTTATTTACAAATTTAGAAGAATCTCTTTAAATAAAAAATTTAATGGATAGAGTGGCGTCAACTTCAATATGAAGATTTTGTAAGTGGAGAACAAGATGTAACTTGCAAATATTTTCACACGCATGCCTTGTGTGAATCATGTTGCATAAGTGAAAATTAAAGGTGATTGATGGAGCAAAATGACACAAGTCATAAAGGAGTATAAAAAGATCACTCAAGCATTACAAGCTGAAAAGGCGGAAAAGTTTTGAGGTTTGACGTTCTACAAGCAATGTATATGGATTCCACAAGATTAAGAATTGCTCACAATGATTTTGGCCTAAAGTCATTACATAGTCATTTCAAGTCATGTGAGAGTAAAAAAAATGATGGAAAGTATACAATGAGCGTAGCATTTACTCAAAATAATACAAGATGTGGAGGTTTACTTTCGAAGTTGTGTTGCTTGTCAACAAAACAATGCATGTCATCATGAATTTCATATGTGCAGGATTGATCATTTTAGTCTATTGTATACTGAGGCATGTAAATTATCTAAGTTGACACTTCTTCTAGTGCCTAAATTAACTAAAGCATCTAAACTCTAAAAGCGTGAGAGATATCAATTATTCAAACGGTTAATAAGTTTGTTAACACGTCATTCTCATAGTTCACAAAGTAGTAAGCCAGAGTTTGTAAATAAATATTTCTCTTGCCCAGGGGAATCATATACTGATTGCAAATCCCACATGATGTTGATTCTCTCTCCCTCTAACTCCAAATCCCTTACTCCCGGTCAATAGTTTTTAGCCTAATTTAAAATTTTTGATGCAACTAAATTAATTTTATTTAGGTAATTTAGACGACCTACTAATATAACCATGCTTTCATATGTGACTTACCAAAAATGTTGTTAGAAAATGATTTAATGATGGTTTTTGTCTATAAATTAAACAAGATTATTCATATTAAGTCAATAACAAGAACAAAAATTGCTTCACAATTGGTTCAATTGTATCTAGAAGAAGTTTTTGCAAATCATGACTTACACAAGATATTAATAACGAATATAACTACTCACTTCACTAGTTTATTTTGCAAAACATTGTTTAGTTTTTGCAAAAAAAAATTAGCAATGTTAATTACCTATTACCCTTAGTTCAAACGGAGAGTGCAAATATATACGGTTCAAGATATGCTACAAACGTTGACATTAGAAAAGCAAGAAGAGTGAAATATCCTTTTGCTTCTTGTGGATTTGTATATAAAAAAATATTAATGCATTCACAAAAGTGTTTATATTTTAATTCATGTATGATATTCATCTTATAACTTCAAGTATAACATACTTTAAGTTTGATGCAACTTCCAAAATGAGAAAAAAACTTGGACGAAAGTTGCGCATGTCTATGACTTTGTGGAGCATATTCACAAAGTATTACATCAAGTCAATAAGAAGTTTTTGATAGCTTGAAATTGGCAAAAATAGCATATAAATGTTCATCATAGATTTTTGATTTAGGAGATTTTTGAAGTTATCTTAAAAAACAATAAATTCTATTGTAGGAATATCAAATTTTAAAATTAAATCATAGATCCATATTTTTTTTTGAAACATGTTGTAAAGTTTCATATAACTTGAAACTTTTATCACATATGAAAATACATCCGGAATTTTATATATCACAATTGCAAAAATATTTAACAAGATAAAAATTATTCAACAATCAATCATTATCATTTACTCTTCCAACCTTGATAATTAAATATGTAACATTGGGATTTAGAAAAAAATTCACTAGAAGATGAAAGTATAAACTTTGAAGATAAAAGATATCAACAATAATTATAGTAATCTTTATATAGATCTTAATAACAAGTACAAAGAGATAAGATCACATTACCACCATCTATTCATTCTTAGTGGATGTATGATATGAGAAATAATTTTAACAAGCACCAGATCGCGCACTCACACATCCAATCTTGACTTAACAAACTCACTGATCATTGACATGACGTTGATTACCAAACATACATACAGTTGATGCGACAACTATAATTAATGCACTCTAAAGTAATTACAATTTTATCTTGAATAAAATTTTTTGATTCAAAATTGTTACAGATCATGAAAAGTTTGAAATAAACAATATATTCAAGAAAAATATTCGAAATCATAAATATCCTAAAATAAAATATTTAACTCGATAAAAATATTATTCATCATATGAATCAACTTGAGAATGAACTAAAATTTAGACCTGTACCTTTGATAGTGGAAAAGTTTGAATGTATATATAGCGAGTATGTTGCATATTAAAAGAAATGAGTTTTTTTATCATCTTTGGTTCATTAGAATAAAAATAAAAATTATTCCAAATTAAGGACACTAGATAATAATGATATATTCATAAGGTCATATAGACAATATGTATGTTAATTGTGAAAAACATATCATCAACCGAATACTTGTTAATTGAAAACGACAAGTAAGAAATATTTATGTTCATAAGGTATATACATCACGTCACCAATTCACCATGAGAATATTGGACGATGGAAAAAATATTGTATTTTCATGTTTGAAGATTCTATACATGAAACAATAGAACCATTAGAGTTATCTCATTTTCAACTAAATTTTAATGTTAAATGTCGAGAAGACAATTTCATCTATGATTATCACGGGAAATCATTCTACTTAATCTATAATAAAATCATGTATACTTCTTTGCCCCACATTCGAACAAACATAATCCAATGAGAAGATTCATTTTCAGGTTGAATTTCAACTGTGTGATTTCCCAATACTCAAAAAACTACTGTTGTAACAAACCTCTACATATCGTTTGTTACAAGGTTTCAAACAGCGGTATTTTCTAAGCTCTTGTGAAATGTACAAGTTTATGAATGTCAAAATGTGTACTACAACGTAATCTTCATCTATCACCACTGGTCAAGGCACTGATCTGGTATTAGAACCCCTCATGGCAATCAGTGACCCCTCGAAATTTCTTCTGGCTTCTTACAGCCATGAGGAGTTTCGAAGTGTATCACGGTGTGTCAGGCGAGTTTGGCTGCCTTAGCGAAGCTCAGACTAACATATCCTTGACAGGTTATACAGCGGGTATCTGCCCTAAGTTGCGTGCTTCTCCAGGATCCAATATGTAAACCATGGAGTCCCTCATCCATGTTGACGATTAACGTGTTGACAACAAGAACTCCGATAGCTTTAAAGACGACTAAATGTGCTTCTTAATGCAGGAGGCTTTTGGTTACGGGAACAGAGTCACTGACATGTTTACTCATAAATTATTCAAGACCGAAAAAACTATATTCCCGTATCAAGCATAAAACCGAATTCTTCCATCTCCATGACCTGGGCCAGAGAATATTACCGAGATAGTAATTACGATAGTAGTCGATGCGTAAACCTGCTCTTGCACATCGGACAGCCGCTTCTCAGGCCCGATGGAAATTGGTCATTTTCACAAGTCTTGGAGAATACGAGAAAAATGATATTTCTCTTGGTGCAAATTATGAATCTGATTTGGAAAATCGCTTCAAAAAACCGTCGACTTCGAAACTTCCACAATTGATGTATAACACATGTACTGTAGAGCCATTTGTAGCCCGAGCTTAAGATAATTGGTTGAAATTTAACCAAGGAAGTGCTGAATAGTACACGGCAAATAATATCAGCATAACCAATTACATTTCCAGAGTACTGATTACCTTCAATTCGTCACACGAACTGCTGTTCATCCTTCACATCTGTCAGGACCATGATTGCTAGTATCATTCTAATCTCATACCCAAGGAGATCGACCTCGGTCTCGATCAATTGCACCTTTGAACACTAAACTACAACTCTAAAAAGATCTCAACGAGACAAAGCACTAAAATCTAACCCATAATTTAACAGATATTATTCGTACAAGGAGACAATGAACACGAAGAAAATGCTCACACCAGCATTCTCAGTGACATCTTTTGAAAAATTAGCTGTGTTCACGTACCAGTTAGTAGCCTAAAGTGGGCACAGGCCAGATTACACATCAATTCTGAAGCACCAAGCAGCAGCAAAGTTTTAACAACTTCGCAAATCATTCAGTAACCTACAAGAACAACTATGAATTTTATTTTGCTACAGCTAAAGGTCCTAGCTTAGGCATCCCTTAGGACGTTCATTCAGTAACAGTACAACTGACATTTGCACAGCAGAACCAACTGTTAATTTGCTTTCACAAATGACTACAACTATTCAAGAAAATAGTTGTCTCCAACGTCAAGCGCGAAATCCTGAAAGAAGACATAGATTGTGGCCGAAGGGAAAAGTCGGGAACATGGAAGGAGGCGAATTCAAACTGCCAAGTGTAGGCAGGCAACACATAGAACCCTTTCTGTTGTTGCCAGAGCTTCACTGGGCGGAGAAGAAAACTTGTAACAATATTTTCAAGAGGTTCATAATGACCTTCAACACTCCAAGCTGCCAAGCCCCGGGGTGTGGTTCGTATTGGATCTACTACGATGAAATTCCAGCGCGAAACCTTATACGCAAAGTACGAAAGACATCGTGTGACCAACAAAGCAAGGTACAAAAGGAAAAGTACTAGAGGACAGTCGAACGGAACTCGAATAGATCAGACTTCAGAAGCGATGTCCCAGAAGATCCATCAGTCTATTTAAGTTAAAACCCCTTAGCTTTCCCAGAACCTCAATGTATGTCTCCACAAATCAATTTCAGTTTAAGTTCGCAGTCCATGCATACCATTCACTACACATCAGACAAGAGGAAAAGACCGAGATGAATGTAAAATTCAGTCTGGCTTAATATGGATCTCCCTAAAGTACAGTTATTATAACAAGATACCTTACAAAAAGATGTGGTGCACTATTGTGAGCCTTATGAGAGCATGGCCTTATCTAAAGTCTCCTTCAACTCCCCGCTTTTAAAGGCCTCTGCAAGCAATAGATGCATTATGAGATCATGAGACAACAATCCAAGTGCCGAAGTCAAAGCATAAAATCTCAATCCTCTCGCACGATTCTACCACTCGGCAGGTTTCAGTCTCTATACATCAAGTCACCACTCGGCAGAGTAGTGTGTTTTCTTTTAAACTAAAGAGCTTGATCGATCGGCAAGAGAGCTCAGAACAATACGAAATGAAACGACAAATATTAGAACTCAAAGGCCCCTGGCACAATGCAGCTGGAAAACAGAGGAGCTTGAGATACTCACCGATGGTGATATCGCAACCGCCAAAAAATTCACCATCTATGTACAGTTGAGGGAAAGTAGGCCAGTTCGAGTATTCCTTCACTCCCTGACGTAAGGAATCGTCCTCCAAAATGTTGACGGTCTCGTATGGAACTCCGAATTGGTTAAGGATTTGAACACATGTGTTTGAAAATCCGCACTGTGGGAAATTTTTGTTTCCTTTCATGAAAAGTACCACCTTATTCGCAGCTATGAAAGCATCCAGAGCTTCCTTCATCTCAGGGGACAAGGCTGACACAGACAGCAAATCACAAAAGGGCCACTGTCACCATGACAATATGTAGAAAGACTCAACTGACAAGTTCAAACCCAACAAAGGTATCCTCTCCCACGTTAGAACTACATATCTCAATCCAATCCACACGCATAATTCCGCCAGTTACAGAGAAAAAGGATCATTAATATGACCACCGTACTTTAATCAATGAAGAAAAAAGTAAAAAACTACTTCCATCAATTTGAATTGAATTGAACTGGACTGAACTGAACTGAATTCAGTAGTTTAACGGGGAAAATTTGCAACTAGGGCTGAAAAAATTCGCTCCCCGGCAACATTACGTGTAATCTGATCGAAAAGAAAGCAAGTGACCTCTCTCACCTCCATAACCTCCTTGGGGGCCGCTCGCTCTGCATTGAAGAGATCCAGCTCCAGATTGCCGCATGTTTCCATTCCTCCTTACAGGCACTCTTTGCAAGCGCAGAGCAGAAACAGACTGCGACAAATTCCGAGCCGACGAAAGTGGAGGGAGGGAAACAGAGCAAGAAGAAGAGGAGTCAGAAGATAGAACAGACGAGGCAGCCGATGCACCGAGGGCGGAGACCACGTGCGCGGCCCGCGCCTGCACCGCTGCCATGGCCATCTCTCGATTCAATTCCCCTCTCTCGTGCACTCTATTGCCGTGTCGCTCTCGTTGCTCTGTTTCCGACCAACAACAAACTCCCGAGACTTGCAGACTCTAGGAGGAGGATCTCAGGGCAACATGGGCCCGTTGGAAGATCAGGTTATCTGCTACTGGTTTGCAAGCAGCTCCAAACTCCCAATTCCCCCTTCCCCAACGTTGGTTGGCGGGTCCGGCACCGTTCTCCTGTACCCCACACCCCCATAAGAGGCTGGAGGCGACCTCTGTCTCCATATTATCAACCCGGAAGCAATGATATCTCTATCACTGTCATTCAAATCAGTTCGAGGTAGACGCCAGTTGGAAAGAGAGAAGGGTGAAGGCTTGCCTTCAAAATTGAGTTGATGCCGCGAGAGATCCAACTTATGAACCAACTGTTCAGGTGTACAAATGGACTCCTTGAGCCATCTATCATCTATCTATGTGATAGATGTCTGTAGCAAAAAATGAGTATTGACATCATTTTTAGGTGGGACATTCGATTGCTATGAAGAACTGGGTTAAACGTATACTGCTGAAAGCATTCTGTTTAACAATAGATGAAGAGACTACATATGATAAGAAAAAGGAGTAAAGATTATTTGATAGATGATGGCAACCTGTCCTAAGTTAAAACACAAAGTATAATATTCATATGACATAGTTTCCTTGCGTTGAATGTTAATGGTTTTATAATGCCTCATAAAGATCTTAAATGGCACAGTTTTCTTGGAGGTTAAGTTGAAATTAAATTTATATTGATGTCGATAAGTAACTTAACTTTGGAACTATTCACCATCAGTTTATTTAAGTTAATACATTGAATCTAGACTTAAGCTGATAAACAACTAGTTCTTTGAGGTTAACACGTCTTGTACAGAGTATGTATAATCAAATAATTGTACATTTTCTAAAAGATTATTCTTTTACAATTTTTTATCAGATTTAATATGGATTTTGATTTATCATATGCACATGACATCTCTACATCTAGTTCTGAGTTCATTTCATCCATAATCTTAATCTTGGTGTGGTAGTTACCCATGAATAGGTCCATCGACCGAACCCATCCAGCCCTCTACTATCCCAACATGCGTGGATAGCTCGTGAATAGGGATGAAAGTCCATGGGAGTTTGAGTACATTGTAACAATGCAAATCAAACTTGAGTGGAAAATTTGTGGGTTCCAACACATTCTGGGCTTGGTGGTTTGGTATTTGGAAGGTAGATTAGAGCCCCTTCAACCAACTCGTGGAGATCCCCAAGACGAGATAATATCTTGACCTCAATAGACTCATTGGTAAAGATATCATACGCTATTTCAAATGTGATATTAGTTATAGCGAAAATTTTAGAAATTTCAATGTGGAAACTAATCCAGATGATCAAGCAGAATACACTTGAAAGTAAGTCTTTCATCATACCACCTATATGTGAAATTGAAAACAAAGGTATTAGTTTTTTAAGTCGAATGATTGATTTTGTTAAAACTCAGACTCAAAACAAGTCTCTTCTCAAAAACCTGCAACAAAAAGAAGTAAAAAAATATAAATCCCACACATCAGGAGTCGTCAAAATCAACATCATGCGTCAAAAAAATATTATTTTGGAAAGTCAAAAAAGCTATAGCTAATTCAGATACAAGCAATAGACACAAGATCTACACATTAAAACCCATCAAAGATTTGACATTTACAATACCATGTCATACATGAATAAGCATGGCCTTCATACTAAACTAACAATGGCTATATTCTAGTCATCAACATTTCTTTATATTGAATCTTCTTAAAAAAAGATTATGTAGACATAGGTGTTGGAAAAAAAAAAACACGTGTGTGATATGAATCATATCATTGAAACTATGGTTTGTATAGGGAAGATTCAAGTTCCCACTTGGACTACAAATTTTACACCAAATCATGTTATGAATAATCTGATTTTATATTGTGAATAAAATTTGATGTAGTAGAGTTTAATGAATAAATTTTTCATACCGAATTTCTTGTATAAGCATGATTGAACCTACATTTACTTTAGTCACTAACAATAAAAATAAAATAAAAATTATTGACCATATACATGATTATGGACGTTTGTTACACATTGTCAAAATGTTCCAAGTGTAAGATAAATTTATCTAAAAAATTTGTGAATGTGAAGAAGCGATTTTAGATTTATACAATTACAAAAATATCAATAACTTACATGATGCATGATGTGTTTAGTTTATATTTGATTATTTAGATTTAGTTACTTGTGATATATACAGTACATAATATATAAATAAAATTATCTTTGAATCTATTTTAATATTAAAAAAATATTGTGTGATATTTATTAGATTTTTATCAAAATAAAAAAACATACTAATTTTCAATTGCAAATATGTAACATTGAATCTAAAATACTTGCATGAAATCACACAAATGAAATCATGGTGAAACAAAAAACATTTAGATTTTATATTTTTTTTGCAAAAAAATTATAAGCAAATTTAATATATAAAAAATTAAAAAAATTGAAAAAATAAATTAATCTAAATCTAGAAATTGCAAATAATGTAATCATCCTTAGTTAATTAGAACCAAAGTATAGGTTACTCAAGATTAAATCAGGATTATTCTAGAATGCACTAGTAATAATTTTCATATAAGAAATCCTTGTGCTTGGTAGGTAGAAAGTAAATGTGTTAGGTAACAACGTCAGGTCTGCAATCACGAATTAGAATTATCTGTCATGTCATCCATTCATTAAATATTGAATTTATGATGGAAATGAGATCTTTTGTACTTGTATTTATTGATAAGATTTATATAAAATGAAAAGATCCAATAATGATTCTATTTTATTATCTTCAGAGTTTATGTTTTTAACTTCAAATGAGTTTGTATTTAAATTATAACTATTTTTCTAAGCTCTTGAGATAAAATATAATTTGCATGTTTTGTTCTAGACATGAAATATATTTCTGTTATTATGCATTTAATCTCATTTTAGTTTAATTTATATCTATATAGGATTTTTTAAGTTATTTTTTAATATTTTTGATTATTTCAAAGCCTGAAAATGCTTTTGTATTCACTTAGTACACGCATTTAAAATCTAATTATTATTTTCAATTTTGAAATTTTAGAAAAATAATTTCACTTTTTCAAAATACTGAATTTGAAAAAGTTCTGCTTGTGCATGATTTCTCATTGTTTTTTTCGTATGTGCCAAAATTTCACAAAATTCTCAAAAATAACAAATAGCTCATATTGTTTCAAAAATTTTCATTCACGTAAAAATGATCAAAATTGATGTTTAATGAATTTTAAAAAAACCTAAATTAACTAAAAATCTTATCATAGAAACGATGATAAATTATATTTGACTTTTAAAATTTGCAACAAATGGTTAAATTGAACGTATATTGTCAATATCAAAGAAATTTATACATTGTAAAGCTCCTAACTATAATGTTGGAAATAAAGAGCAAAATGATGAGATTGTGTATGTATACAATTTCATGGAGTCTAGATTAAAACAAAATATTATTAAGTTTTATTGTGATAGTTCAAATGATTAATTCATGAAATATAATATTTTAATCTGTGAAAAATAATCATTCTTTAGTCTCAAATCATAAAGAGTAGAGTATAAATTATCAACATCAAAATCTATTTTATCACATTTTATGTCTGTGAAAGAATGTTAGACAAGATTGGGGTTTTCTTTTATCAATCTTGTTGATGCTTTTAGCAGATTATTTTTCTTGAAGAATTTTCAATATATAATTTGACATGATTTGTACATGGATACAAGCAACTATGTTATTTTTTAGAATATTATTTTTCTCTATTATATTTTGATTCATATCTTGTTAACCTTAGTTTTTTTTTAAGCTTTTGCAAAAAAATTATATAGAAAATAATTTAGGATAATCTTTACGATATATAATTAAGACCTTAAAAAATATTTAATGAATATTATGATTAATTATACATATTTTTATCATTAATAGTTACAATAATTAGCTAATGCTATATAAGAAGTATGACATAAAGTCTTTTCAATACAACTTAGAATTTTTCATCTCTATATCTTTTCATTAAGATAACTTTTCCTAAATTTTTTGTTAAATGAATGTTTTATAATTTAGTGATCTATAAAATCAATTGCACACTAATGATATTTATGATTTTCTTTTTTAACGTTTTTAATATATAGAGAAAACTGAAAAAGCATTTTTTTCTTCCAAAAATACATCAACATGAACAACAATAACTAAAACTTCAGCATAAACTATAGGGCATTTTCACTTTCTATTTTGGTTCATCAAAATTTTTTTACATTAGAGATTCTGAGTACTAATTGATATCAATGATATCAGAATGTGCATGTTGTGCAATGTTAAAAAATAATATAAAATATACTCTACATCACATTGGATCAAATAGAATTTGGTAAGAGGTACTCTACGTGAAATCTGAAGAAGACTTGAGATTTAAAGGATTTTTTATTTTTTTGAAGTATTAATAAACGTATCTATACTATTAGCTTCAAAGTCATAGATTGGCTGAAAAAATTAAAGCACTCAACGTGTAGCTACACAATCATGCTCATCCCCATCCCGTCATTCATACTATTTGAAAATCCAGATTATTCATGTACAATAGAAAAGACACAGACACTATCAATCCTTTTATCTTAGGAAAAAACTTGTGGACTCATTATGATGTTTTCAACCCCAAGAATAAACCCTCTAAAGTTGTTCAATTCAGATTGGGCTTGACAATCATATGGTTGTAAGTGTTGAAAGTAACACTTCATGAAAGGTCATGACTTGGAAATCGACACACTTTTTTTACATTAGCATACTATCACATGCTTACGTCAACCTCTTACAATTATACTATGTAGCAATTAACTGATCAAATGTACTGGTGGCTCTATAAGTGTCTCCGTGATTCTATGTTAAAGGCAAAATAGCTACGTTTGCTGATCTAGAGTTATTCAAGCATCGTGAGAGTAAAATGTTATAAATTCCATTACACAATGATAATAGACATCTTGATATTCACAGTGATCAATTTTTTGATTGCTCTTTAATTTTTTCATAGTATCCGAGAAAATAATGAATGTTATTGTGAAGAAAAAATAGTGAGCTCTTATTCTATTATTCACATTGTTCATATTACTTCATCATGAATGGAGATAGAAAGATGAAGATGAAGCTTGCGAGAGATAGAAAAATGTTGGTGGGGGAGTTCAATGATTAAGTTTAGCGACTGAAGAGGCGGTCGATGCTTGAGCGTTTTAACCTTTAGGAAGAGACAATAAACAAAATCAAGATGATGGATTGCTCACCGGTTTCAGTCAATGGCATGCTGTGAATGAAATCAAGCCCATGAAATTGAAGATTATAATACATGATGCGATTATAATGTCTATAAGTGATAATATCGTTAATTTAGTGTTTGAGAATGATGATCATGCAGACAGTCACGTGACCTTGGAAGATTTTGTCTCCAGATTGGAGAAGCGTCTTTGTAATATAAAATCTTAGAGCTTCGCGTAGATGTCACGTCCCGTTTGATTGACGTATCCCTGTAAATACACTAAATATATAGGTTTTATAGAGTATTTATGCTTATGCTTAAATATTCTACCAACTATTGTGACTCTACAATTTGTATATGTTCATATAGCTTCCTGGTATTCTAGAGATCATTAATACCATGGTTTCTTCCAAGGCATTATCTATATAATGTAGAGAAAATTCATGTACGGAGACACGTGAGAAGAAAATATACTTATTCGTCCTTCTCAATATGACAACTATAAATTTGTTTTGAGCAATGAGCACACTCGTGATGCTAAGCTAAAAGAGAGTCAAATCCAATCAACCCAAAATGAAAGGGACAGTGGATACGTTAGAATTCATCACATAATAGAGTAAGTACCAAACACACGACCTTTAGCGGTAGTGAACCCTAGTCCGTAATTGGCAGGCCAGCTTCCCCACTTTAGCACATGGGATGGAGCGGGCAATTTAAGATATACTCGTTGGCAAAAAATTCGGTTGCTGCGAAGTACCAGACAATCTTGGTTTTTTGGGATCGATCGACCTCTCGTGTATTTTCGCACCTTTCTCCCGTAACTCCTCCAGGGACTCTGACTCCTCGTGTATTTTTGTACCATTCTCCCGTAACTCCTCCACGGACTCCTTCCCACTGTAGTGCTATTCAGTAGAGACATTTCTCCCGACACTATGGATTCACAGGACATTCCGCTTCCAACCCTCCATCTATGGGGTCCGACATTATGGATTCACAGGCCATTCAGGTTCCAACCTTCCATCTACAGGGTCTCCAAACCTCCATCTACAGGGTCTGAATTCAGTGCGTAGGGGAATACCATTCCAACTTCACTTTTTTCAGAAGTTTTACACACCCGGGTATTCAAATACTCTTTCTTTTTTCGAATTGGGGGATTGGAGTTTAGAGCGAGAGAGTCTATGTGTAGAAAGAGAATGTACATTGAAGTTTAGAATGCTAGAGTCTCCGTGTACTACCTTTTCACTTCCAAGTCAAGTACTTGTACTTGATCACCCCATTGGAAATTATTCTATATCACTTGCCATTCGGTCTATGTCGGTTCGTTGAATCCTCCGTATCTACCTTGTTTGAAATGGCGAGCGATATCTTGAGTATGCAGAAGCCAGTACCGTGAGCAGGGCATTGTTCTCAGCGTTCCGATCACGACCCCGATCACAACCACGACCCCGATCGCCGTTCCGATCTCGAAGGCCCGCCAGAATGTACCATCCAGGAGCTCGGACGACGGAGCCCCGAGTGTGGCCGAGCTTCCGCAAGTGGTCTCGAGCGGGGGCCCGCAGAGCTGATCGTTCCCGGGCTTGTAGGACGAAATTGTGTAGGGTATGAGTTTAGGATACCTCTTGGAGAAAGTATTCACCGTGGGGATCTCGCCCTCGAGGAAGTTGTAGGATAGGTTCAGATAGCCCAACCAGGGCCAGCTCAGCACCACCGCAGGAATCTTCCCCGTGAGATAGTTGGCCGACAAATCCAGCGACTCCAGACGCAACAGATCTTCGAACACTTGAGGGATTTCGCCCGAAAAATTATTGTGCGCCAGATTCAAGTACGTCAACCCGCGCAACGCTCCGAGCGAGTACGGGAGCCTTCCGGAGAGCTGGTTGTATGACAAGTCGATGGAGATAAGAGTCTCGAGGACGTACTCGAGAGTTAGGAGGTGGACGGTAGGACATTGCTGGCCAAAGGTTCGCGACTCGAGTAAGTACTCGAGTCGCGAACCTTTGGCATCAATGAAGATTTGCTCGGCCTCAATGGAAATTTGCTCGAGCAATGTACTCCTCTCCACCTCGACCTGCACGGAGATGATTTTGTCATTGTTGACACTGCTGCATCGCCTCTTACGGTCGTCTGGCGACGCTAAGAGGCGACTAAATCCTTCCAAGCCCGAGAGATTGGTGGGCCAGACTCCCGCGAACGAGTTGTGCGACAAGTCGAGCACTTGAAGCTTTGGAAGCTTCCAAATCCAGCCGGGCACGCTGCCGCCGAATTTGTTGGATGATAGTACCAAAACTCGCAAATCGCTTAGCACTGGCTGAGAGTACTCGTAGTTGTCAGGGAGCTCGCCTGAGAATCCGTTGCTGCTCAGGTCCAGGAGCTTCAGATCCGTGCAGTTGTACACGCTCACAGGAAACCCTCCGCCCAGCTGGTTCCTGTTGACAGAGAAGCTCTCGAGGGATCGCAGCTGCAAGAAGTCAATCTGAGTCACTGTGCCCGTGAGCTTATTGTTGCTGAGCCTGATGCTTCTCAGCGAGCTGCAGTTCGCCAGAGACGCGGGAATGCTTCCCGTGAGGTTGTTGCTGTGGAGGATGAGTTTCACCATCTTCTGCAGTCGCCCCAGCTCTGGAGGGATTCTGCCCGTCAGCGCGTTGTTATGCAGGCCCAAGTACTCCAAAGTCTCCAGAACTCCGAAATCCGGGGGAATATCTCCTGTCAGAGAATTGTTGCTCAGATTGACCTGTACGATGCTCTTCAGGTCGGCCAAGCTCGTGGGTATGGGCCCCGACAGCCCGTTATTGTGCAGGAAGAGGAACTTCAACTTCGGCAGCTTGCCGAGCTCGGCGGGAATGGGGCCTCGGAAGTCGTTGTCGTTCAGGAGCAAGTAGCTGGTGCCGAGGTTCATGTCCGAGAGCAGCGAGAGGTTTCTCAGCGGGTCCAGCGTGCCCGTGAGCCTGTTGTTCGCTGCGTTCAGCAGAACGAGCAGCGAGAGGTTTCTCAGCGGGTCCAGCGTGCCCGTGAGATTGTTGTTCGCTGCATCCAACAGACCGAGCAGCGAGAGGTTTCTCAGCGGGTCCAGCGTGCCCGTGAGCATGTTGTTCGCTGCGTCCAGCAGAACGAGCAGCGAGAGGTTTCTCAGCGGGTTCAGCGTGCCCGTGAGATAGTTGTCTGCTGCGTCCAGCAGAAAGAGCTGCGTGCAGTTGGTGAGGCTTTCGGGCAATTCCCCGTTCAGCCCGTTGCTGCGGAAGCTGAACTCTCGGAGGTTGGCCAGCCGCCCCAGGTTCTCGGGGAGGCCACCGGTGAACTCATTGTTGAACATGTAGAACTTCGTCAGCGCCGTCATGGCCGTCACAGCTGCGGGGAAGAAGCCACCAAATTCGTTCCCGTCGATGAAGAGCTTTTCGAGCCGACTCCATGAGGTGGATTCAACTGTCAGAAAACTCCCCCCCAGGAAGTTGGTCCCCACATTCAGGAATTCGAGCTCCGACAGCGACGCCAGCTCCACGGGGAAATTTCCCTCCAGGGCATTGTTTCCCAAGTTCAGGAACTTGATCTTCGTCAGGTTGCCCAGCTCGGATGGGATGGAGCCTGTGAAATTGTTCTGCTCGAAGCTCAGATACTCCAGATTGACGAGCTGGCCGTACTCTCTCGGAATTGGACCCGTCAGATTGTTGTTGCCGAAGAAATCCAAGTACCACAGCTTCGTGCAGTTGGCGATGGACTTGGGAATGGGGCCTCTCATCTTGTTCGACCGGTAAGGGTAGTAGTCCTGCTTGGCGTCGAAATTGAAGAGCGTGCCCAGGGCCAGAACCTCGAGCTCAGAGAGCAGACCCAGCTCCTCCGGAATGGACCCATTGAAGAACCAGCCCTGCACTCCGATGTTGAGAACCCGTAAGCTGGACATGTTGCCGTACTCTGCAGGAACTCCACCGAAGAGAACATTGTCATGGACGTTCAAGGTCTGCAGCCTCTGCAGCCGGCCCCATTCCACGGGAAGCTCGCTCAACAGGAAATTGTGGCTCAGATCGAGGTCCTCAAGGTATTCGAGCTTGCTCAACGAAGGACCCAAAGTGCCGTTCATCTTCAGCCCGGAGAAGTTGAGGGAGATCACGTGCAGCTCATCGTCGCAGATGACCCTCGTCCACGAGCAGTAGGTGGAGCGATTCCCCGTTGTCCATCCATCCAAAGCATTGTCCGTGTAGTTTTCGATTTCGGCCTTGAATTGCAGGAGTGCATCGGCCTCCCTGGGACAGTGGCAACCCATTCGACTTGTATGGCGTTAGAGATGAATTACTCATGCGTGCGCATTGCTGTGCACATGCTCGGACGAAGGACGCAAGCGACAAGTGCAAAATTATGCACGTCTCTATGAGATGATTGCTTGGTGCTAAATGTCACTGACCCGAAGCTGTCTTGGAGCAAAGTGCGAGATATTCTTCGGGAGTGTGTAGATTCCTCCAGAGAACCATGGTGAGGCTCGTGACGAGTCGTTAACGAAGTATCGACGGCTTCGTCCTGAAGTCTAAACTGCTGCAGCTCTCGCTGGCTGCTGGGACCGCCGTGTGCTTGTTGCTGGCCCATATGCGCTTCGATGGAGGCCGCCGGAGGAAGCCCACTCTCGATGTTGATGCTGCCATGCTCGTTCCCGGCCGATTCTGTACGTGCATCGATATCTGGATCCTGGAGAGTCTCAACAAGAGTCTCGATTCTGCTTATTTCTCCGAAGGTGTTGTCCTCTTGATCAACGGCGCAAGCACCGAGCTGGAGGCAACATAGCACCAGAATCAACAGCATCCTGAAGCGTTCGCAGATAGCGGGCAGATCAGGAGAGGAGACTACCGATGCCCGTCCTGGAGATCGTCCGAGGAAGTGCATCGTGTCCACCTCCAGAATAATATAAAACTCAATTCTTCTTGTACTCTTCAATCTCCATGAATTGTATAATTTCGAGACAGCTGCCTAGCCAGCAGTGAACGACGCTGAGAACTACAACATGATTCCCACAAATGTTCAGCCGCGCCAGACTGATCTTCATTCGCTAAAAGTATCATTCTCTTCTTGTTTCACGAGCAACTCTGACGACTAGATCGCTAGATAACCAGACCGGCGTCTCCTCTGACTTCGAGCTCGTACAATTCGGTAAAAGACCGGCCGATGAACATCTTCTGGGGAGGGAAGGAGAGAGAGAGAACGAAAATGAAAGAAAGAAAGAAAGATCCTGGGTGTTCTGGATGGACGGACGGACGGGTCTAAGAAATGGATGATGGTGATCCTGACCACAGCAGCAGTGAGCGCAGATCATCAATAATTACTCAAATAAAATTTGTGCTTCTAATATATCCATTTCTGCTAATACCCCATGAAACAACGTGTCATAAATTTGAACCTTTTTGAACAAGAAAAAGGTTCTTGTTCAAAAAGAACAAGAACCTTTCGAGCTACCTAGAGATTACATGCAATAGTATATTATCTTTATGAATCATTGAATACAAAGCTTTTTTGAGTAAAACCGAGCTTATGAATACATGATCAGCTTTTTAAGTATGTGCAACCGTTTTTCTTTAAATATATGTGAGAAGGCATCCATTTCTTTACTATTGAAAATCAATGGACAAACAAAGAATATATTAAGAGTGTAGTGATTTTAGAATATATACATCCAACACACATCCACTCCGTGGTATTAGTGATATACACCAAGAAATGCCACGCTATATACCACGGAGTGGGTGTGTGTATATACACTAAAATCAATAAGTGCTCTGAGTCCTACTTCAGATATCTATTTTCTTACCTGAGGCCATGCGCTTAGTCCGGGCCTGAGGGACACAGGTTAATCCTTATTGATGGGCAACTAATGTTTTGAAATTATTCCAAGACGAATACATTGTAAGCATATCAAATCTTTTTTCCCCATATACTTCAAATTATGTAAAATCATGGACGTAATTTTCATATATGTATAAGAAATTTCATATTCTTTAATGAATTTTGTACAAAACTTTGCTAACCTATAGTGAAAGTTTTCATAACTTTAGCAACTAGTAAAAAACACTCCTTTCATTATATTATACTTATTGTTATGCTCACTTTAGTTGATTTTGCATACCTTTGAATACAATTTGGATTTGGTAGTTAAATTAGCAAAAATATCTTACAATAGGGTGCTATGGGGACTAGTCCCGTGTTACTTGTTTTATTTGATGCTTACGAGGCTTGATGGGAACTTCCCGTCAACTTTGCTGAACTGCTTATTACAATAATATTCTAATTAAGTAAGCAAAGTGATCATAAGAGTATTTTGTGTCTTAACCGGGAGGTGCGTACTTAATATGAATAATTAGTGTAGTCGAATAAATTGACTTATTTAAGACAAACAGTTTTAAACAGACAGGTGTCTCTTCATCTATTAAATAGTCTTACTTAACACAAACAGATGTAAACAAAATTAAGTGACAGAATAAATAGGTCTAGGTCTACTCTCCCAGACTAAACAGTCGTATTTAACACAAATAGGTGTAAACAAACTAAACATGTGTGCACACGAACTGAATATTTGTGTCTTTACTTATCAATGTTTGTAACATTGTTGTTGCACATTCATTTAATGGTTTAATTCAGATGTAAGAGAGTTGGCAGATTCACTTTCCGTTTTTAATTGTTGTTAGCATGTGTTTCTGTTTGCATGTGATGACAGATCAATTTGACCTTCAGAAATACTTGCTTGCATGAATTGGTGGAAAATGTGGTCATGCACAGTATTTCATTGAGTTGATTTTCTTTTCTTTCACAATATTTTCTCCTGTGAGGTTCATTCGTATCTTGCACGATTGTTCACAAGACTAGGGCAAGGAGGAACTCAAGGGAGTGGTTAGTGTCCTGGCTGATGGCAGTTCAAAAAGCAGCGCGGAGGTTGATACTCCAGGACTTGCAAGAGATCTTAAGCGATAGCGGGAATCAATTTTCTAACTTTTTAAGATCTTTCACAGTTGCTTCTACTTGCAGCAAGCGATTTAGTAAACTATTACCAAAATTATGATGCCAAAGAAAACGCCCTATTGATAAACGCCTCAATGGATTGTAGAAGATGATACTTCCCGAAGAAGGAGCTGAAGTCAACAAATTTGATCTTGTATTGCTGATAGTTTTAGACCAACTCTACGTGATTATAGCCCAATATGATCGTCGGAACGTTTTTATATGGACGAGATTGGCTTATTTTTCGCCTACCGCCGAGATACATTCTTCTTATGCTAGATGAAGACATATCAGCAACTAGAGATAAAAATCCAAAGATCAAGTTTCTCTCATCATGTGCGCAAACGCTGTGAGAATTCACAAATGCTTTGCACATTGATTGATAAACCAAAAGCACTAGCTTGTATTAAGGATCGTCAAAGGCATATTCCATATATTAGTCAGCTGGAAGCGTGGAGGTATGTTCAAACATGCTGCAAGTGGTTCAACGAAGTGTTTTTTCTAGAAGTGAAAAACTAGAACTAGACATTGGGTTCCATTGTTGATGAATAATGCCCTGGACACTATAAGGCTTTTGAGCGTGACAATGCTAGTATCGTTTTCTTTCTTGCAAATTGCACAAGTTGGAAATAACCATGCAATCGTAGCTTTGATACAAATATTTTAACAATGTTCAAATATCTCTATCTTAAGGAATTTCTTGAGTATTATTAATTGGATGAGGAGATAAAATTTCAATTAAGAATTCAGGGACATAGATTGAAACGTGGTATTGCTGGAATTGCATACGGAAATGCAATTCACTTGCTGGATGCTGGGGTTTATGTCGAAGAAGCTTGGCAATCCGTGTCACCAAGCTCTGTTCAAAATGCATTTGTTAAAGTAGAAATAATGACGTTAGAAACCTATCAGTAAGCAATGTACGAGATGGAAGATTTCGTGACTGAAGTTATACAAACTATTGCAACTCTAAATCTTTCTAATGGGCAAGAAGAGCTTGAAGCATTTCATCTTGTAAAAAATAAATCAGTGAAATATTTACAACTGAAATTTTGGAAGATAGAATTGATAATGAATTTCTTGACTCTCAAAATGTATATTCGGATTTAGGGAACAACATTGTCAAAGTATTTGAATCTCCTTATAAACAAATGATTATATGGAGTATCAACTGTTGTGCTCAGAAGTTCAAAAAGAATAGAAAAAACAATTTGATATTATTAGATAATTTTATTTAAAGCATTTGAGTCTCTTTATAAGCAATTTGTTTATATAGAGACTCAGCTTTTGTGTTCGGATATTTAAAAAGATTTGAAATTTTTTTTAATATTTATAGATAGTTGTTTGAATCGTGTCATAATGAGATGAATTCTATCATTGTGAGATCAAAACGAAAAAAAATTTCAAAATTTCACATTAAATGATAATTCATGATATATCGAACTAAATAAATTTGGTCAAATTCTTTTGGAAAAATATTCATACTTTTTGGGGACGCGTGATTAACCGGGAGATTATTGTAATTAAATCTTCTCAATTGAACTATGGCCGAGTTTCTTAGCGTGCAACAAGTACTGTACTCGTACTTGTTGCACGAGTACAGTACTGCCAGAGTTTCATCCCATAATCAATACAGGAATAGACGTGGCAAAGACAATAAAGTAGACTTTCGTACATTTCCGCTCAAAAGATTGAGAAGATGTCAATCTCTGACAGTCGTTATCGTCTTCCTCCTCGGCATCAGCTTCTGGACGAGACAAGTGAATAAATTGACTGGCTTTGACTATCACTGACTCTGAGACTCTAGAAGCCTGCCACTACGGGGAGCCCTGTGCACGGTATGTACACTAAAGTCAAGGACTAAAGTCAAGCACTCGACACCAGCGCGTACAATAACCAGCGAGCGATAAACAAGGGAGTAGGTATGCACACTAAAGTCAAGCACTCATAATCTCGACACCAGCGCGAACAATAACCAGCGAGCGATAAAGCAAGGGGGTAGATATGCAGAATGATGGAGAGTGGAAGGCGAGCTGGAGTGATCGAAGCGCACATTAACTAGACGTGGTAAGAAATTCTCCGTAAGTTGATACTCTCCCATTTGCTTCTGTAGTAATGTCTCGGCTTGATTTTGCAGTAATCTTTGAGGTCCTACAAGTGGTGCAAGTGATGTATGTGTGAAAGTACATTTACTCACGTTGATACTCAGACGTCTATCAGAGGAGTACGGTTGAGAGTTAGACTTCATGCATACTGGACACATATAATTCATTGCAAGAGCAGATTGCGACTAGAAATCCACTTGCGCACCAGATTCTACAAATTCCACTGCACAGGAATTAACCCTCGCCTGCTTGGAAAGCAAAAAGGTGGTGAGGATTTTCCTTCTCCACCTTCCAGATTCTGGAGGTATTGGTAAACATATTGTCAACTAGTTCGACTGCTCTCGAAGTAACAGGAGTAACATAGAGTAGGTGCTTGTACTTATGTTCGGTGTGCACAGAAGAGGAAGAAGACTTGTCGTGGCGGCATAATGTAGCAATGAAATCGGGAAGAAGAAAATTCCCCGCAATAAGAACAGAAGAGAGGACGAGGCTGGTGAAACTGTCAGCGATGGAGAGAAGATGTGGCAAGATAATAGAATTGCTTGCTTTGATGTAACAAAACAAAAAGTAGAGATCGCACAAGAATACACTAGCATCGAAAGATTTTCTCATGTGCATGAAAGTCAGGGTTCGCATGAGGTGATTCCTTGCCTCATAATCTTGAGACACGTAAGAACTCTAAACTCTCATGGCGAGATAATATATTGTCCTTTGAACCTTTTGGGCTTGAGATGTAAAGATCGCTGTAAAGATCGATCAATTGCGTGTCTGATCCTCGCCCGACGATTCGCCCACCGAGGAAGGAAGGGGCAAGGAAACCCACCGGGTGCATGTGCGATTGTGAAGCCTCGAAAAAGTTTGCCCTGGGCTCTCGTGGCAGCTCGTGCTCTGCTCATTGACAGTCGACAGTGAGAGATGTGACACGAAGGAAAGGGCGTACAGCGTGGCCTTTCATGGCAGCACACCATTTCCATGTGAGGGTGAGCTCGAGCCCGATCGGAGCTAAAATATATAAAATATTTGAGTTTCCATGTGAGTTTATCTTATACTATAGTCTTTGAACGAGATATTTATTTGAAGTCATTAATCATCGTTATATAAGATTTAGCATAAGAAGTATCTATACAACACAGTTTTTCTTCACTTGCAAGAAAGTTGAAAAATGTTACTCCTTGAGAGAATTGACGTTGACC